TTGTCTTTGCAGTCCATAGCCACTTTAAGTACAGACACTCCAACAGTGCTGCAGTGCTTGCTGCTCAACTATTTTACTTTTTTTAGTTTCTGCTCTTTTTTAAGCTACTATAATCAGATCTGGCATGTCACTTTCTCCTGTTGCCCTGTCGTTTGGCAGTGTTCCTATCTCGTCCTCCCACTCAGTCATTTTAATGCAGCGCAGAAAATGTGCTTGAGTCAGTCAGCAGCCTGCATCAATGCCAGTACTCCAAGTATCACAGTAGATCTATTACCCTTTCAGTCAGCTTGACAGGTGCCTGTTTAGAAAGTGATGATTTAATAACTCCACCTGTGTGCTTTCACATTATAATATGTCTTATTTAAAATGTTACTGCTTAAATCCATGGTAGTTCAAAATAGTGAGACTCGTATTTGTTGATACCGGCTTTTCTTGGGATGTTTTTAAAGACGGAACCATAAGTACACGGTGAATTTTTAATGGAGAAGTAATTGACACTGTTTGTTTGTTTGTTTTTCTCAGTATTAATAAAATACTTTACTCTTATCTGGCTGTATGTGATCCCTTTAGCCAGTAGATGGAGATATATCAATGAGGCAAGAGACCAAAAGCTTATGAGCACGCTGCTGTTAACTAATTATCAATATTTTACCTCTTGTTTCTAGCCAGTGCATTTTTTTGCTCAGTAAATAAATCTAACTTAATCAGAACAAGAAAACACCTCAATTATGAGTAAACTATGTATATATTTTAGCACTAAAAAGCTCCATGGACTGTCTGTGGGTGTATGACTGTCTATGAAAAAGACTTCATGGATCAGTGTTTCACTACAAACCTAAGTGAGAGTTTTCTGGGAGTTTTTATCTTCCTGTCTAGCATCCATCACTACTTTGCTTAGACCTCTGTTATGATGACTTCATGCAGTCTTTATCTCAAACCAACCACCACCTGAGTAGATATCTAATCAGAGCCAATGAAATGAGCATACGGGGACAGGATACACAGTGGCACAGTTATTCACTAATCCAATTACAAGAGGAACATTTGTTGCTAAAAAGCCCAAAAGAATGAGGAATACAAAGGGGTCTTTATCCAAGGAAATATTTTTAACTAGAACAGGAGGCTTTTGGCACATGTCTAGTTTACTGTTGCAAGAGAAATGCTATTAACACTGGTATTAATGTCACAGTCTGCAGCCCAAAATGCCCATTCCTGAATAAGAGCATGACCAACCCACGCTTTGGATTGTCTCATCCCCTGCATGGAAGTCACAAAGGGTCAAGAAAAAGGTCACCAAGCATTCATTCAGTCTTCATCCTTCCAAGTCTTTTCTCTTTTAAAATGAAAAGACAGATCATTCATTGTTGAATCCCTCTAGAAGAAAATCTTTTCACGTTTTCCTTTTGCACAAAGCACTGGTCCTGGAGTCCATCTTACGCACAGTAACAAACTTTGACAAGATCTGTGTGCAGTTTTCACTACACATGTCAGAAACAATAAATGATAAGAAAACTACTTAACAGTCAGGGCGGCTCTTTTCTGTTTTTATAACATTAAAAACATTTTTCAGTTGCTGCAGATTTGTCGGCTGCACATCCATGAAACAAAACTCCTGCTCAACCACATTCCAAAGGTGCTCTATTGGAAAAAGATCTGGTGACTTTGAAGGCCATTTGGGTACACTGACCTCGTCATGTTCAAGAAATCAGCTTGAGATGATTTGAGCTTTGTAACACAGCACAATATCTGGAAAGCAGCCATGAGAATATGGGTATACACTGGGGTTGGATATGGCCAGCAACAATACTCAGGTAGGCTGTGGCATTTAAATGAAAGGGGTTCTGTTGATCCAGGCAGGATGGGTCATGTTTTCATGTTATTTACACCAAATTCTGACTGTACCATCTGAATGTTGCAGCAGAAATCGAGACTCAGACCAGGCAATATTTTTCCAATCTTCTATTGTCTGATTTTGGTGAGCTGAGTTTGCTGCTCTTAGCTGACAGGAGTGGGAGCTGGTGTGGTCTTCTGCTGCTGTAGCCCATCTTCAAGGTCTGTTGTGTGGTCAGAGATGCTGTTCTGTACACCTTGATTGTAATGAGTAGTTATTTAAGCTACTGTTGCCTTCCTACTAGCTCAAAGCAGTCTGGCAATTCTCCTCTGAACTCATTTTCAAAGCACGCGTGCACACGTTTTTGTATATACAACATATGTTACTAAAAAGACAGGGCTTGATGACATGATTGGTTGAAATCTTCTTTCATAAGCTGCCCTAGTAAGAACAGTAGAAGCATAGGACTCGAACCTACTCCTGCTTTCAAAAATTTGATTTTTGATACTGCCCAAGAGTTATTTGAAGAAACAGTAAAAACTCAGTAAAAAAAAAAAAGACTGCTATTTAAAGGCATGCATATTTTAACTCGTCTCAGGTTTAGGCACCGGCAACTGTTGCTTCAAGTGGTTGATCAAGTGATAGATTCAGTCATGTGTGAATAAACGATGGTGCTGTCTAACAGACCACAGCCCTCAACAGGTGAGATTTCACCAAGTGACAGATGATTCTCTGCTTCAAAGTTTTGAATCTCGGATGGAACGTTCAATATAGAAAGTTATTTACTTCTTGCTATTGAACATCCATCAATGTGACATTTATTTCCCTCCTGCAGAATGTAAAGTATATTTGTGTGGTGTCATCAGGGTGACAGAAAACAAACTTTCTAGTGTAGGTGGGGAAAGAGAAACTGAGATGAGAGCACGCAGCATCTCCAGTTCATGATATAAATGTAAATACACCAGAACAACTCACAGCATGGAGTCAAACACATTTTTAAAGCTGAAAATCCTCAAGTGACATTAGTATGAATAAAACCCAAACATTACTTTTTAAATATTCTAATGTTTGGTTCTCTTTTCTGGTTAACATAAGACATTTTGATTTTTTTTGCCACTTAAATATTCCTAGTGGAATATTTAAGTGGCAAAAAGCTCATTTTCCACCTCCTTTCGCTGCTTTTGAAGAATAGACTTCTAAATGAAAATGCCAGGGCTTAACTCACACTGACTTCAAATGAGGACTATTTACTGCAGCAGTGGTCGTCTGAGCTCCTGCATCAGCTGGAAATCATATCTTCTAATTGCAGATGTCATCTGTTTCCTGTGAGATATGACCCATAAAAGCAGAATGTTAAGCACGGGGAGTTTCAACCACTGGTGTGTTTGAAATGAAAAAGGACAATTTATACTCCTACTTATTAACCTCTCTGGCCTGCCCGTGTAATTCAAGCGTTCAGCACAGGAGGATGAGGGTGTCCACTGAGGACAATAGGACACCGGGTAAGAAATCGAGATGACTTCCACTTATACACCTGAGACCTCGTCTCATCTGCCTCGCCTTGATATGTCCCGATTAACTCCCTCGTATTCATTACTAAGCATCGGCTAAAGACGAACACTGTAACCTTGCAACATGATGAATTAAAGCAAATGTCAGCGCTGTGCAGAGTTAGAAACCTTTAGTTCGTCAGCTGCAGTTTACTCGAGGTAACGCTGCAGCCCCTCAGGGCTTCTGTGTTGTGAATGGCTGGAAAATAAACTAGTCAAACATCCATCTGCTGAGCTCAAATTCTTTACCAGATGCACTCACTTTTTGAATCATCTGCCCAATGGCTACGGCCATGTCTACGGGACCATGGTGAGTGATTCAGACAGCAGCAGATGGGAGGTTGTTAACGTACACCCCCGCCCCTCTAGACACACAAGTCCTCAGTCTCTTTGTTGTGACCCCCATCGTCTACATTATAAGAGTGAGGGGACCTTGAGGCATAAAGTCATGACTTCATTAGCTGTGATGCTCGCTTCCATTAAAAGGCACTCTTAAGCATGTTTCAAGGGCTTTTGCTGGCTTTGAAACATTAAGACACATTCAAAATGAGACATTTTATGGTCCCCTCTATTGGTTTAGACAATGCCTAGTATGATTGTATATTGATTTTGTGGCTTATGCTAACATGGGCACTTATCCAAAAGCCTTTTTAGAACCACGTGACACACAGATACATGAAAACCTTTAATTAATAAAGTCAAACCTTATGGAAAATCGATTTAGTCTAAATGAAATGAAAGTCTACTGATTTTTTTTGAATGCCAGAAAGGTTGCAAAGGTCCAGTCCGAAATCAAAGGCACATCACTTTTGTTCCTTTTTTTTTTTTTTTTTTTATCTTGCGTGGGTGCATTTGAATTCATTTGAAATGATAATGAAGTGACATTTTAGAAGTGAAATAGCTTCTAATAAAGTGTCTCCATCTGTAGAGTAACAATAAAAATCGGAGGCGCAGTTAGATTTCATCCCTGAGGGTAACAGTTGTGCAGCCAAGAACATTGTGTGAAAATGAGACACTTGCACAGACAGTAAATAAAATGGTTAGAAAGGCCTTGTTTGTTCTCCATGATACATCTGATAGACCAATCAGCACGTCTGTCACCGAGCTGTCATGTCATGCAGAGTTTTATGTGACGTTATTGTAAGGAGTTTTTTTTGACAAGGGACTGCATCTTCACTAAAAACTGACACATTAAGATGCCATTGCATTTGTCTCACTTTCTGATATCAGTCTGATAAATCAGCACATAGCCACTCTCATCTCTTCCAGTGTGAATTTACACCTACATGAAAGTGCACTGCTTTTTCTTTGTAACACCTCAGACTTGTAAAAACTGAATGTTGGGGTGCAATCACACTTCTCTTTGGTCTGAACTACAAGTGAAAATTTTACTTCTTTTTTTTTTTTTTTTTTACAATTGGGAAAAATTCACACAGCCTAAATAGATTGACAAAAAAACATTCACAACACTTCACACCATAGCTTGTTAACTGGATTTTAATTACATTACATCCCACGAGGTTGGAGAGTTTGGCAAGAGAAAGGCTATGAAACAGTCTCTGCATTGTACCTTCAGCTGTTTTTAAAACCCAGTTTTAAACATACAAGTAAAAAATAAATAAATTATGAAGCAAGTCTTTAATAGATTGTTTTCCAGAGTATTCAGATTCAAATTTAAGGCATCTTCACAGGCAAAATTCACTGTACAGATTAAATGGCATCATTGTAGTTAATCCAATTTAACTAAAGCAATAAATTCAAACATATGATTATAATGTAAGTGGAAGTGAAAGCACATTTGTAATTAAGACACGTTAATCTTTTACAAAGTACAAATACCCATAAGAACGACATGGATCCAGTTAGTGTTCGTCCATACAACCCGTGTCAATCATCCGCCTTTAAAGGGGCGACAGGATTAAAAAGTGGTCTCTCCCTACGGAGCTGTAGTTTTCCAAAGCTCATCTCAAAGTCCTTCTTAGTGCCATTTAGCACCTCCAGACTACCTGTCCTTATGTCATAACCTCGAGCCTTCAGTTGCTGGATGCGATAATTTACTATTTGCGTAGTTAGTTCTAGGACAGTTGGAGTCGCTGTGATTTGACACATGCTGATCCCAGCACTGAGAAGACCCTCAAAACGTTCAGCCAGAGTAGATTCAGGGTAGTACAGAAGAGCTGGGCACCTGAGGATGATGCCCCGCAGCTCTGTCTCAGAGCACCCAATGGTGTCTTGAGAGTACAGCAGAGTGTGACGCATACTGTCTGGGTTCAGCTCAGCCACAAAGCCCTTCAGCCTGGACAGCAGGTGGAGCAGCTGGGGTGTGCTGAAGCCCTTGTCTCTCAGAAAAAGGAAGTTCTCCCTCAGCACCTCTGGAGGCTTGAGAAGAACAAACGGGTTCTGACTCAGCAACTTCTGAAGCCAGATTTTCATGTTAGCTTCCTCCCCTCCAAGTTCCTGGTAGGCATGTTGGAGAGTGTGGACCATCAGCTCGTTCTGCTCTACTGGCCGGCTGAAGCTTTGAGGAGCGCTGGCCATGAGTTTGGTGATGACTCGTTTGTTCAGGTTTAAACTCTGGAAGTAGGAGATGTTGTTTCGCTGGTTGTCATGGTGACTGGAGGAGGTGAAAAATGAGGCTGGGAATTTCTCAATGACACCAACCAGCTCCCTCTGGTTTGGACACACAGACATCCACAGCTCTTTCTGAGTGTAAATCTGCTCAGGATTACAGAGGACAGCCTCAGGATGACTTGTTAAAATATGAGCAATGATGGGGCCCGAGGCCCCCATGTTCTTTAGGAGTTCAGCTACTTCTTTTGTATAGGCTGGACTCTGAAGCAGCACCCATCCTTTAAGTTTCCGGACCTTCTGGATGTCCACAGATAGATCATAAAGAGCTTCTACAGTCTGCTGGTTCTCTGCTACACTATGTGTCGCACGTGATCTGAGGTTTAAAGGTAGAGCTGTGACAGGTTGGCACCGGAGGCACAGGAATGTCGCGATCGAACGCAGCATTGATGCAAATTCCTAACACCAATCCCCTAAACACAAGGAGGAAAAGAAACTACATAAGTAACCAGAGCACACAGACCAATCCTTACATTTATTTAACGCTTGTGGTCACCCTTGCTCTGTGAGGTTTTGCCCATCATGACAACAGAACAACATTAATGTTTTTTCTAACTCCAGAAATTCTAAGCGAATAAAACCAAGGTCCAGACACGCAGAGCTGGGGGATATTTCTAAAGCACAACCTGTATTGATTCATCTACCTTTATTATTTCTAAACTGACACACTTTAAATCTTTCATCTCATTTTGTACCATCATCTTCCAGCTCTGACTCCACTGCTTCATGCTCCTTTGGTTAATGTCACTCATCCTATCTTTGCATGCATAACAGAGGCTTTTTATCGGAACTTAATGGCCTCTCTGTACAGCTGCTGCCATATGTTTCATAGGGGGAAAGCAAGAGCCAACTCGATTACCTGACACTGTTGACGACTATTTGTAGATAGCATCTTTGAAAGCAGCCTGTTATTACTCAAAGCTTTTTATTTCAGCACTGTAAATAAACATGTTCGTTACATCTTCACAGGGGCTGCTTGTATGACTGACGGCATTTATTTGACCATGTCAAAATACAACCCTTCTTGCACTGACCCGAGCATTTTCATTTGAAGAGTCATGCCGGGTACAGAGCGTGCCAGCTGAGCTAACAACTATGCGAGATAGTCTCAATATACAGCTGACAGCTCATTTATTATAATATTTATTCATTCTTGCTGACAAAAGATGTATACATTTTAGAAACACTGGGGAAACCTTTGCAAAACAAAAATGAATTACCTTTGTTAGCGGTCAGAGGATGTGACGTTTTGTTATGAAACCGATTCCTTCGTCTACACTTTGTGTTGTGTGGTGTTCCACAGCGACACCCACAGGCCCTGAATGGTACTGCAAGCAAGCCAGCTACCTGTAAACTCAACTGACACTTAAATAGAAAAATAATTTTACAGACAGAATGCAGAGAGGTCGATGTAGAAGTGTGTTATTTTATTTGATGTACCAATTTGCCCAACTTCTCTGTTTTTTAAAGCAGCACTCTTTTTATTGCAGCCCATATGTCTGATAATTAAATAATTTTGACAAAAATCTGTATTTCAAACAGCAGTTGGTGCTCTTTCAAAACCCTGCAGCATACGGGGCCCTGATGAGTGTAATCAGTGAGCTGAATTGGACTGAATGCACGGAGAGTTTCCTCGCAGTTGGTGCTTAATCACGATGCTTGATCACCAGCTCTGCAAGCTGTTCCATATAGTAGCACAGGAACTGCTGCTGCTGCTGCTGCTGAGTGGGTATCTGGGATCATTATAGTTTATATAATAGTAAACAGATGATACGTCTCAAAGGAAAAGAGGTCAGTGCTTTTGTTAAAAAAAAGAAAAAAAAAGATCCTTTTCAGATCCTGTTCTAATCTGTCCATCTTTGAGATGATTGTTTCTGTACATGATCACTGATTTAAAAATGAGCCTCATAAACAAGTCAAGTAAAACTAACATTAAAACACTTATTGGTTCCAGTCCGTGCGTAGCAGCCTGTGATCGCTTTTATTGGCAGAGGAACAGTAGTCACTGCAGGAATCAACATATGCACATTCATTATCTATAGCAGTAGCACAGTTACACACACAGAGGCAGACTCTCGAAATCACAAGAACTGTCATCATACTTATTTCAAACATTGTTATAATTAACGCTATTACTGCTGCATGTAAAGCAAGGTTGAAGTTAATATTCACTGAAGAAAAAAAAAAATATAAAATACATAATGTCTTAAAGTGTCAAGAGATTCCATGTAAATTTAAGGAGCTTTTAAATTAAAAATTCACATTTAAATAGAAAAAAACTACTCGATCAGTTGTTTGTTTGCTTTTAATATTTGTTTTTTGCTAATAAATTACACTCTAGATAAGTGTGTGAACTCCCCCATAGCTCATGGTGGTTTCTTATTGCTTTTATATATGACTTTATTGGTCTCTCACATGATTTTAAAGCAATTTTGGTCCACTTTTTGTTCTAACATTGCTTTCGTTCATTGAGGTTTGGAGGTCTTTGTTTATGCACTCAAGGTCTCATTGCAGCATCTGTGCTTGAGATCATTTTCCTGTTGTATAACATAATTTCCCTGTCAGGTGGCTTCACATTTGAATCTTCAATGCAGGTAAACAAAAGAGGTCATGGTCAGCTTCATGACTGCATGTGCTCAGGTCCTGTGGCTGCAAAACAAACCTACTCCTTCACCACAGCGCTTCACATTTGGTATGAGGTGTTTTTGCTTATATCCTGTGATTGGTTTTCATCAGCTGTAGTATGATGCATTTTGTCCATAGTACATAATTCATAATTCTTCTAATTCCAAAGTTTTATGGTTTGTCGAGATCCAACTATGTAAATCCAAGCTGTGCTCCCATCTTCTTTTGGGAGAGGCTTTTTCTTAGTAAGCATTCCAAACAGACACATTTCTTGTGTTTGTCTAACTTTACCTTCATAAAATGTAACATTCAATATTTCTAACTGAGGCCTGTTCTGTCTGAGATGTAGCTCTTGGGGTTTTTTTGCAATTTCACTGCATATTATTTCTGACCTTGGGGTGAATTTGCTGGGATGTCCACTTTTGGGAAGACTGGCAGCTGTCTTGAATGTTTTGCATTGGTGAATAATTTTTCTCACTGTAGAATGATGAATTGGAAATGGCCTTCTAACCCTTCCCAGATTGATGGGCAGCACAATTGCTTCTGTAATATCATTTCTGATGTTTTTCCTCTTTGGCATTGCATTAAAACACACCTGAATGCTTCACACCAGCAAACTGCCAGAACCTCTGCTTTTATGGAGGTGGCCACAATTGCTGATATTTCGGTTAATCAAATGCATTTGATTAGCAGCACCTGGCTGGTACTTAATTCCTATGTAAGCACTAAGGGTGTACTTGTATCGTCTGTTTTGATGATTTATTTTTTCTGCTTCCTGTGGAGGGGTGATCTGGGGCATGTGGCCCTCTTTTACCCACACCTGCAAGCCCATTTATTCATTATTATGTGGACTTTCTGAGTTTCATCAGCAAATATGTAAAAATGGCTTCTCGAGCATGTTTTACAGCATCGACTGCAGGGTCTAATTTGTGATGAATGCATTGAACGGCAGTCATGTTAGGGCTTTTTACACAGGAGTGTAGCTGTACCATTAGTTGCAAAGCCAACAAACTGTGTACCTCTCTTTAGAGACACCTTTCATAGCATGGCTTTATAGCAGAATGTAACAGACAACAACCTTGTTGTGTAACTGCAAATCAGCAAGTTGAAATAAGAAGCTCCATAACTCAACTGATGTAACTGGTGCGTGACTTGGCAAGACCTAAAACATAAATATATTGCAACATATTTGATGTGATTCTATCGCTTACAAATAGACTAGCTCTTAATCATAGACTTGCATCTCCGCCAGATCGCCTAATGGGACTCAAGTCAGTATGTTTTACTGACCTATCCAACTTATCCAATGAATCCATCTTGACCAAGTCCTCTTATTAGACCAACAACTAACCTGTTTCCTGTGGAGATGTGTGGTTTCCCCCTTATCTGTTTGCCCTCTCTCCTCAACATACTGCAATTTCTGGCAGTAACAACCTCTGAAAATGAAAGAAAGATATCCAAGAGAATGACTACTTTGTTACAAGAAGAACATGCAGATTTTACATAGCATGCACGAAGATAAGATCTGTCCTTGTTTATATTACCTTTACAGTGTTGCAAAACAGAAAATCCGCTTCATATTACAGTATGCTGCTAATGTTAAGCAAGTATTTATCCAAGGACCCAACATCAGAGAGAAGTATTGATTTTCATAGTTGTACTATTAATCAGCTATAAAGAGCTCAGCATTCATAGAATGAGAAAGTGGAGTAATACGATGAGCTGTGACCTGTTGTTTTATGGCAGGTCAAAGTCAGTATTATTATTAATTAGTCTGGTGCCATATTACACAACTGGGCAGAAGGCTGGCGAAGTAAATAAGCCGAGCAGTTTATTATTGACAGATTTAAAATCTTTTACAGCTACCAAAAAAATAGTTCACACAAGACACAGACAGTTACTTTATAATCAAACTGCAATATTTCAAGGCTTCTAGTAACACTGATAAGGATGCCGTCTTCTATTCACATTCATATTGTAAATGTACTGTCAATGTCGCTTAGCTTGATATAACAGGAGACAGCTTTTGTGTCTTGTACAAATTCCTCAGTTGCTGCATTATTAAACTGATAAAGCAACGGATGAATAATTTGTGTCCTCTCACAGTGACAAAAATAAATAAATAAATAAAAGTGACAGTGCAATATACCAGAAACATAACCTAATACAAGTTTTCTAATGCAGATTTAGTTCAGATTAGTCCACTCACTCAATATCATGATGATGGTAAACAAAACATGAACTGCATGCATTTACAAATGTGCAATCAAGCTTGCATGGAGGAAGAAGGGTTTATCTCACAGATACACAAAGATGCATGATGAGTGATGTAACCTGGAGTAATGCAGTCTTTCAGCATCAGACTTTTTCCAGGCCATCTTCTGGAGCTAATCAGACCCCAGCTTATGTCCCAGCAGCAGGTATCAATGGATTCAATTCAGTTTTATTTATTTCACATCAAATCACAACAACAGCTGCCTAAAGGCGCTTAATCTGTCTTCTTAATCCAAACCTACCTGGTGGCTTTCTCTGTGGCTTCAGTAGTGGATCTAACAGATCTCTTTTTATCTTGTCCAGTGATGCCTTGTACTTTGCGCCCTGTAAAACCTCACCAGCTCAGCCTCACAGGCTTGCAAGCTTCCAAGCTTACAGGCTTAGTGGTACTTACACCTAGTACCTAGGAACGTGGCATGATTTTGTTTGCTTCATCCATTTGATCTTTCCAGTTGTTGGCAGTGGTAAGGCTAGCTTTTGGAAAGATGTTAGAAAATGAGATTTTCTGCTGTAGTACATTTTCCCTTCTCATTGGAGCTCGTTGCGATCACATCCCCACCATCATACTGGTTCAAAGTTCCCCTACACCCGCTTGTACACACATCTGAACAAGGTGTTGCTGGTCTTTGTCCTTGGTGTCGTTGACCCTGGTTGAGGGAAGTAGGTCTTATAAAAGAGAAAGGAGAAGCAGACCATTTTGACTAGGTGGATCACACCTAAAAATAATCTCATAATCTCTGAAATCTCAAGGAGTTCAAAAAAATAATTAATTTACAATAAAATAACATTGTAAAACCAGGCTGGGCCAGGAACAACTAAAGAGTTTAAAAGACTAAGTAACATAAAAAGAGTTCTAAAACAGTATATATACAGAAAACCCCGACAAAACTAAAAGATTTTGCAGTAAAGTGCCTCCAAAGCCCTAAAAGAGAGCTACAAGTCCAATAAAAAAAGTCCCCTGTCATCCCTCATCCCTCATGTACCCGTTTGTCTTCTGTCCACACTGTGTGCACTGCATGCTGACCTGTGAGTGAAGGTCAGCATGCAGTGCTGAGTCACTCAGTCAGTGCTGAGTAAACACTAATCCTTCTTTAGTACTATGAAGGGTCAAAGAGAGATCCTTTGCCCACGGGTGATCCTCACTTACTTTACTGTCACAATACCACAAGGGCTAAGATGCTGTCTGTCTGCCTCCTGCTCTCACTACAGTCTCTCTCTCTTGAAAAACCAAGACCACTATGCCCCCCCCTCTGCCAGATTTCGAAATATCTGTCCAGATATCTGTCCTCTGTCTGCTGTAGCTTGCTCCATCACTCTTTTATCCCCCTGGCCTGGTCTGCTGTGGCTCTCTCCTGCTGTTGGCCTGTCTCTGTTATTAAGAAAGTTTAACAGAGCAGGTGTGTCGTATTGCCTTTAACTTGGGAGACTTCAATGTGAACTGAAATCCCAAGTAATTCCCCAAATAAAAGCATGCAAATAAAAAGTGAAAAAACAAACAAACATGCAAAGCATAAAACAATCAAAAACCATTAGTAAAAAAATCCCATCACAGCTCTCGTAACTATTTCCTAATAATAGCATGATGAAAAGTTTCAGTGTGACTCGTGAAAAGATACTGTAGCAACTTTGTGGATAATTTATAATGCATAAAGTCGTACAGTTGTTCATGTTTAAGGTAATGTGTCAAGTGCAGTGTTAGAACGGGTACTGCAGGCTCGTGTTGTTGGTGCTTTGTTTAATTCAATGTAGTTCAATTCACTTTTATTTATATAGCACCAAATCACAACAACAGCTGCCTCAACTCATGTTATATTATCAGGTAAATACCTTCCAATATTAAAAACCAAACTCCAACAATCAGACAGAATTCTATGAGTAGCTGTAACATGTGGAAGGAAAATCCTTTTAAAACGAAGGACCCTCCAGCAGTAGCAGGCAGAACTTTGCTGTTGTTCATTTATAACCTGATCTCCAACGTTATGACTGAGGATGATTTTGGCTTGTGGCAGCCCACCATGGCTGAAGCTGCTTAGGCAATTAGTGTCCCTGACCTAGGGCTGTGCAATATCATATAATCTGCAATAATCCCGCTACAAATTTGAAACGATATAAAAATGTAATATCGTGACGTCAATGTGATAGTAACACCACCAACACCATTTACATCCCCTAATGCAGGGGTGGCAAACTCAATTGCACAGGGGGCCAAAACTCAAAGCACACTTTAGGTCATGGGCCAAACAGGATAAACATTTATTGTACACACTAAAACAATGTTTTTTTAAACATAAATATGAATAAAAACAGACAGGAATATTATTCCAGAATAAATAAACTTAAAAAAAATAAACTTTCATAAACAGAAGTTTGACTTGATTGACACGGGAATGTTCCCAGTTAGCCTAGCGTTCAGCAAGGAGGCTGCAGCGCTGCATTATGGGATCTGTAGTTTGTATATTATTAGCGCATCATATCGCCGGGCCATGCATAACAATAATAGTACATCTATATAAAATGATCTCGCGGGCCAGATATAAATGTACGCTGGGCCGGATGTGGCCCGCGGGCCTTGACTTTGACACATGTGCCCTAATGCATGCAACAAAACAATCACAAAAGCTGTGTGTCAGCATCCATTGATGACTGAATACTTAAAATGGGACCTACTTCAACAGCCTTCAAGAAACCACAGGGCTTTGCATTATATGCAAAAAAGAATTCCAGATAATGGGGGAAACTACTAACTTGTTTCACCATTTGAAGTAAAATTACATTTTCGAGTATAGCCAGGGTATGGGAGAAGGGATACTAGCAGTTGGTGATAAGAGACCCAAATGTAAACAGATAACTACAGTCATTATCACTGGAGTTCTTGTTAGTTGCACTTGCTATTTGCATTGACTAGTTGCACTCTAAATGAAAACAAGCAATGGATGGAAATTATCAATGCGGTTATTTGGTGGGAAAGCAGGGCTTTAGGTAACTGGTTAAAAAGCTCAACTCAAAATATAACATCGCAAGTAGATTTAAAAAAAATTATTTCCTTATGGAGGTCTTGAAGAGTTACAAGCTTAAGTTTCTTTAGTTATTATTGGACTAAAGCAGTCATAGTCTTTTGCTATGTGCTCAAAACTATACAGTCAGCATTAATGCCTTTCACTAGCCTTTTATTAAGTGTTATTTGATAACTGGATGCCTTTGCTTTACCTGTGAATATCACACCACTCCGAGATATTTTGTAAAAGTGACTCTCATAACAGCCAGCAGCACTGCTGACATAGCAGTTGTGGAAAATGGAGCATCAGTGTTGGGTTGTGTTCCAGGAAGTGTACAGCGGTTGTTCTAAGAAATAGTTAAGTGCAGAGACCGCGCTGCATTTTCTGTCACCTTTAAAATGATGTCAGCTTCTCCAGTTTGATTTTGTAAATCTTTGAGTGCCCAGTCACTGGATATGTATCAAGTCTATATTTTGTGTACAATTTCTGAAACAATTATGCATTCAGAGACGAATACTATTGTTTTTATTAAGGACTATCATCATAAAAGCGCGCGCACACACACACACACACACACACACACACACACACACACACACACACACACACACACACACACACACACACCACCCCCCTACTACCTGTTCTGCAGCTGCTGTAAGCAGAACAAAAGTGGCAAACCACAATGAAGAAGCCTTTCAGTGATTGCAATTTCCATTCACTCAGACACAACATGACCTGCTTCAGGTTTATAGAGCTCCTGCTTTTCCTCCTCTTCAGCAATGTCTACAGTGAGGAGTCAGAACCCATTTTCAAGGCAGAGCGCGAAGTTATCCAGCTGGGTAATTGTTTCGCAATGGATTATATTGTTGTTTATAGATCTGCTTCAGAGGGAGACCAACTGCTTGGCAACTCTTCAAACAAGAACATGCCCAACACACCACCTGCAGACCTACAGGGTCGTACCCACATCAGTGACGATCCCAGCCTGCTCGGGTTTCAAATCAGTAACCTCACTCTCTTGGACTCTGGGATTTATAGGAGGGAATGTTGGAAGAACCAGACGATAATCAGCCAGAAGACACAGCAGCTCACTGTGTGTAAGGAGCAGATTGAATCTGAAGACATAATTGTAAGTAAAGACGGTAAAGGGACTGAGATCTTGTGCAATAACAATGCTATTGGCTCTGCGGGAACATCTGTACGCTGGTACCATGAAATGTATCCGTCTTATGAGCCCACACTCTTCCTGGATAGCAGTGTTTCCCTGAAGCCTCTGGTGAAGGAGCTTGCAGGTGTGGTAGATGTAAGAGACAACGGTGCATTGCTCGTGTTCAACAACATGTTACAGAAAACCACACACTTTAAGTGTGTTGTGATGAAAGATATCAACTGTCTTAGTTTCCAAACCATGCACCCACCAGATGAGAGTGAAAGCAAGGACGTTTTTGTCTCACTGGGGGACAGAGTGCTTCTAAATTGTTCTATTGATGAGGGTGACCAGGCGTGGGAAACTCCACTGGGAAGAATTGATGGTAACACGAGGGGCAGTCCAATGTACATATCAGCTGATGACTTCTCACTGGTTATACCTGCCATCTCTGCAGACTACACTGGAGACTATTCATGCATCTCCCCCTCACGTGAGATGCATTATGCATTGTTTCTTTGCCCCAGCGAATCTGTTGTTTATCAAGTTGTTGGTCAAGGTGAAAATGTCTCGCTCGTGTGCAATATTAACCAAGATGATCCAGAAAGAGTGCAGTGGCACCGCTATGGACTTTCAGGGCACTATGAGATCATCCACAACTCACAGGACAAAACTGTTCCCATCCCTAAAGATCTACGAGGCAGAGTGACTCTATCTGAGGATGGGACTTTGCTGACCATCAACGACCTGAAGGTGAAGGATGGAGGGAAGTACATATGTGCTTTTTTAAAATACAGTGAGATGACTTCTACGGATGATCATATAGATAATGATGGAAAAGGTACCGGAGAAAATGAAACCAGCAATAAACACCTGTGGATCAATCCACCAATATGCATTTTTAAGCAGGAGATTAGTCTGATCATATTAGTCAACAGTGCCAGTAATGCTACTGCATATTCTGTGGGGGCAGGACTGGTGGTGCTGCTGGTGGTAGTTGGAGTCATTGTTACAGTGATAGTAATAAAGAAAAAAGCAAAGCCTTTGCCATTGCAGAGAAAAGTGACATCAAATGTAAAAATGGATATAGATCCTGGCTGTACTGAGAAGTTAACTCTGTCTAGTGCTTAATAGCCTTTGTAAAATAGCTCCATTGTGACTTAACATCCACCTGACACATGCTGTGCTGTAGAATCTGTAGATAAATCAAATGTGTTGCTATTTTCACCTGTTGTCTACCATGAGAAGACTGTTTTTAGACATTTTTTTAACTTAATGTAATGTAAGAACATCGATCAGATCATTGCGATGAAAGAATTAAAGGCAGCTAATTTGTTGATTACATGGTTACATTAGCACTATAGTCTGAAATCATTCATAATAAATATATTAATA